TATAAAACCATTCAAATAGTTTAGGTAAATATTAACCTGAATTGGTAAGCTAGCTAGCTTTTTTCCAAAATTGCAGCTATGGGGTAAATTGAGCCAGCATTTTAACTTACCCCACTATAAGCCTCTGAAGTATAAACTGGTATTTTAATGTGCTATTATGCAGTTGGTTTAGTTTATCATAAATATACATTATTTGTAATTTATTTGTTAGGGACAGTGTACAAGTGCATCAAATCCATATCTGATAAGAACCGGAAGATGCTTTTCCTCACATTATGATCATATATATCTTTCTACCTGTAGTCCCTAATGAACTGTTCGACAATGCAGAAAAGCTACCATGCTGAGAATAATTTGACTAAAATAGTTTCAGTGACATTTATAGTTTCATCCTACTTGCGTTTTTATTTAATTTTACTCAAACTCTGTTTACAAACTTTTTTTTATTATTTAATTATTAAATTAGTTTTTAAAAGAGGTAAATTATCTTTAAAATTTCACATGGGTTTGAATCAGATTCAGTAGATGGTCAGTTTACACGCAGTGGTGCATCTTGCCCACTGACTCGGATCAACTTACCCCTAACCTGGGGGCAAATTGAGCCACTTTTTAATAACTTTTTAAAACATTTTTATCACTTTTTTTATAAGAAGCCATATTTTTAGAAGCCTTTGTCATAGATAACATTCTGATCATTTAAAATGATAGGAAACCGTGAAATTACTTCAGATACTTTCATTGAACTTCTGCCTCATTTCCCCTTATCTTGAGGACCACATAAGTTAAAAAAAGAAAAAATGGCTCATCTTACCCCATTCTCCCCTATAGCTATAGTCTTAACATGCTTTGGTCCATCCTGGACTTAACCAAAGACTCTACTCGTTACTTAGCAGAATGGTAACCTCCAAAAGCTCAGACATACCTGAAATCCTTTTAAATCCCAACAAAACAACAATAAACACGAACAGATCTCCCCTTATATTAATCTTGTGCAAAAGCACATAAAATAACATTTCAACATTTACTCTCCTTACAGAGTCTGAAGCAAAGCTTGCTGGGAAGTTGAAATCTGATTCAGCTTGAGTTCTGCTTGATATAATCAGTTACCGAGCGCACATATTTTTTTCTATTAAGTGCAATTAACATTCAGTAATATTTGAGTTAAATGAACTAATTTCATGTAATACATTTGACTGTTATGTTTTACAGTGATTATAAAATTCCAATGGAGTTATTTTATTAATTTACGTGAGTTTTCAGGTCTAGAAAATCTCATATATCCATTTTTTCTGCACAGTGGGAATCCTGGTTCTTCCCACGGTTGGCAAAGTAAATGAAGGGCAAAGCAAATTAAGATTTTTTTTTTGTTGTTTTTGCTTTTTTGAATTGCTTGTTTTGCCCTATTTTAAATCATTTTAATCATCTTGAGGCCCCCTTGGAAGTTTGCTGAGGCCCTCTAGTGTACACCGCCGCCCTGATTGAGAACCACTGCTCATACTGTATATATTACAGTTCAGCTTAGTTTTACAGTTGCTTTACAGGAAAACAATCTTTCCACACACACTCTCTCTCACACACACACACACACACACACAACATAGAACTGCATTTGCAAGCTTTGACCATGAGATGGCAGTGATACAAATGGTTTAAGACCAAATATGACTATCACAATAACTGTATAATATTATAATTATTATAATATTAATAATATAACTGTCACAACATACTTAATACTTTAAGGAAAAAATCAACTCCAATCCTGGGCACCCACATTGCAGAGTGCTTTAGATGTCTCACTAATTAAAACACCTGATTCATTCTTAGTGTGTTGAATAGGGAGCCATCTGAAACATTCTGGGAGATGAGTCCCGAGGTCTGGAGTTGAGAAACATTAATCCAAAGGACAACATGAAGGACTATGAGCGCACAAGGGCGACGTTCTTTTGGAGTAATGTTTACCTGAAAGATTTCCTTGCTCTTTCTTGTTCTTCCTGTTCCAGACATCAGCATTTGCAGCAGTGTGATTAAACATTTGCTGATACATTTATCTGTTTTCACAGTAGCATTTCGTGCCATATTCCAACTCTGTTATTGTTGAAGTGTTGACAGATCAGATAACCTGACTATCAGTGCATGAACTTGCATGCATTCCATTCCAGGAAGAAAAATGAGTTTGTATTGTTTGTCTTCGAATATAATTACCCAGACTTCTTAATGGGTTTGGTTGGCATAAACAGAGATTGCATGTCTCTTGGTCTATGGTTTATTTGTGTTTACCTTTTCTTTTTGTTGCATAAGCAGCATGTGTTGCCCTGTCTTAATGCAATATTGCTCTGTGCACAGTGCAGCTCTCTAGGGTGTACTTCAGCAAAGCATTGCATCAAACAGATGACAAGCCTCTGTAAACAAAGACGCCTGGATCTATCTTGCTGGGGGGCTTCCAAGATGCACAAAACAGGCACATTTTCTTGCCTACATTCTAATTAGGCAGTCAGCAGAAGCATGTTTTAAAGCACCTGTTTTCTTTTGCACAAAATGACATCTACATAAAGAACCACTTCCCTTCAGCGTCTACTTTAAATGCAAAACAGGAGAGGGGCAATTTGTCTGTTTTCATATCAGTAGAGGTGGACGTTGTCACAGCAGTTGAGGGCCTATTCATGCTGAAATCGTCAGTCATCCATTCTGGCCAAATCTCTTTGTATATTCATAGAGCGGATGCAGCAGAGAACCAGGTTCAGCTGGGATTGTCAAACTGTTTATCTAAGAATCAGATTACAACTTTGCACACCAAGTGCCATATATCTTTGTATGGACTACTTAGTATAGTAGTTTATTGTGCTTGCAACATGTAACTATTAACTAGTAACCAGTAACCATTCTTATTTTTAGTAGTGTTTGCTCATGTGCTATTATGTTTCTAAGTGATGTGACTTACAAGTTTTGGTTGGTGGACAAAAAAGAGGTGAAAATATCCCATGTATTGACACTGAAGGGACCAACTAGAATAATACTGAGCATTGTTTTGTTTTTTTCACTCAGTCTAGTGTGCAACCACAGAAATGTGCACAAATGATGCAGAAACCTGCAGTATTTTGATGGCAAGGTTTTGAAGAGTTTTTCTTGAGAAAATGTGAAATTTGAATACTCTCACAGCAGGAATACTGCCCAACCTTTTAAACCTGTATAAATGCACCATAAGTGTATTGTTTAACCAGTTTGAACTGCTATGTGAAAAGAAAATGGTTTCTAATTTTGCTTCAAGTTTTCACATTCTGTCTTTTTGTTGACACTTTTCTTTTTCACTGGACAGAGTGCCATTTATCGTTTGCTCAGCTCACACACCCAGCACAGAAAGGCTGTAAATATCAATGTTAACCAAAAAAAAAAAAAAAAGAAAGAAAGAGGTGCAAAACGGCTGTTTCTCGCGTCCCTTACACATCCACTCACACTGCAGTTTTGACATTCAACATTCAGGTCAGTTTGGACCAGAGTCTATTACCAAGAGCATTATGGGTCCCTCAAGCAACAACCCAAGAGGACACAAACTGAACACAGTGTCTTCAGAAAAGCATTTAACTGTCTCGAAACACAGTCTGAAAGGGAAACATGGAATTACATATTTTAGTCTGATTAGGATGATGTAGCTAAAACAATGTCGTTTCCAAAGCTGTAGCTGCTTCTGATTGAATCCCTGTTTCTTTAAATACATTCACTAGTGACTTCATAATCACATGCGTGGAGTATTTATTGTAATACTAAGCGTTCTCATAAGAGTCTGGAGCGGTGATGTCAAACCACACGAGACTCCGAACTTCCTCTTTCCATGAACACTGCTGCCCAGAAGAAGTGCTACTTTTGCTCATGATGTTGCATAATGTCTAACATCTGCTCCATTATATAACATATGCGAGTACAATCTGCTAAAAAAATTAAGTGACAAAAATGTACTCTGTGGACAAGTGGAAGGGGCAAATTGTAGTTCAGACTAAAAGTATTTGGACACTTAAAGGGATAGTTCAACCTAAAAAAATTGTTATCATTTATTCACACTCATGTCAAAATTGTATGGCTTTCTTATTCTGTATACTTTTTAATGCTTGACAATGGTAAAAGTCTTCTAAATATCTTATTCATTTGTTTTACAAAAGAAGGAATATACAGGTTTGGAATGGCGTAAGAGTGAGTAAATGATGACAATTTTTAATTTTTGTGTGAAGTAACCCTTTAAATCACACTTTAAAAGCATAGATGTCATCACATTAGATTAAAAAAACAAAAACAAGAATAATATGCAACTGGTTTGATAGTTTGCCCAATGTAATGAAGTGCATATTTAAATGAGATTTTATCTTTCAAATCATTTTTAGGAACCATGTATTGCATACGCAGTAAAACAACAAACTCGAGAAGATGTGGTTTGTGACAATACCACAAACTGTGCTGGTTTTGATCGACTTCCTTTTCCATCAGCTGCAGAATGTCTAAATGCATTTCCTCTTCTCTACACACCAGGACCTTAAACTAAATCTAAATTCCTTGCAAGAGCTGCAGTTCACTAATGTTGGGAGTTTATGGTTAATTAGGTGAATCTCACAAAACCTGTCCAGGTCATATTTCACTGTGTTTAAATAAGTTCATTTACCATTACGATTTTTCATGACAATTTTCATGACAATTAAACACTTTTTGTGACATTTACCCAATTACCTATATAATTATGTAGTATTCCCTACATAAAAACTGTATTAGCAAGAAAAAACTATTTTCCATCCTAATATAAGAAAAATTAAAACAATTAAAAACAAGTAATACATGTTTAATGCAAAAACCTTTATTATTAAAAAAATCTTTACAAGGTTAAATTAATATTACACATTATGTTGAACCTGGTAGCACTGATATTTTTACATTCTTCATAAAAAAAAGTGAAAAATAGCTATTAACAATAAATCTTCATAACTTACAAGGAATTGTGCTTTTCATATAAATTTCATATAAAACATCTTCTGAGAAACTTGGTAATTCTTCCAAACCGTGAGCTTTTTTTCTTAGTGAAGGGGGGGAAATGAGGCCTTCAAGCTGTGTTTTTCTATGCGTGGAAGCTAAATGCCAGCTCTTCAGGTGCTCAGTCCTCTCTGATCACGTGTGTCCCGTCATCTCACATCTCTGTAAGACAGATAAGATTGTGACAGCTCAGGTCAAGGGAGTGAGGTATGGTGCATGTGCAGTTATGATTCATGACTGTCACTCCGCTGATAACGGAGCATGCTGGGAGTGAGCTGTGATAAACCACCGGCCTTTTGTTAGTAATTTAGCGATAGGCGTATTAACATTATCACTGTGATGGACATTTTACTTGTTTTTGTCAAGAATAATGTCATGACAGAATTCAAGTTTTGTTTGACTATCACTGAGCGCCAGTGCTGAGTGTAATGCATTACAAGTAACTTGAGTTACGTAATCAGATTACTTTTTTGAAGTAACTAGTAAAGTAACGCATTACTTTTTAAGTTACAAGAAAATATCTTTTTCAAGTAACTAAATGTAAACATGCATTTACTCATCTCACTCGCAAAAAAACAGATTCAGTATTCCTCAGAATGAATAAAAACAGTGAAATTCAAACTCAGAATATGACGCAAACCTGCTATAATTAAATGTTAAATAACGCAAATATCCTTTATGTATTTAATCCCATTTTATTAACCAGTGTCTTTGCTGCTGACCTTCGATGATCCAATTCAAGCATACTAATAAGCAAAAATTACCTTAGATAAACATAACTTTTATGTTCGTACCATTGTAATATTTGCTACTGTACAGACGTGAAATGACAATTCCTTCAGCCTGAGGCTTATTCATTTCACTTTTAGTTTGAAAGGGCTTTTACTTTTGCCAAAAATATAACATTTTATATTAAAAACAAACAAGCAAGCCCAGCCCAGATGAGAAAAAGTAATGCAAAAGTAACGTAACGCATTACTTTCCCGAAAAAAGTAACTAAGTAATGTAATTAGTTACTTTTTTTAGGGAGTAACGCAATATTGTAATGCATTAACTTTCCCCAACACACAGTGTGTGACAAAACAAGATAACTGGTGTTGATCTGTAATGCAAACTGTTTTCTGTTATATTCTCTACTAATAAATAACATCTGATTATATAGAGAGACTAAAAGTAAGTCTGTAGCTCCCTCAGATACTGAGGATTGTTACCGCCGTAGGACTATGGGAGTGCACGCTTGTGGCTGGCTGAATATTCTGCATTTATGTCCTTGCATAAGGTTTGCTTTTGGTCTTACTGTCTTTTTGATCTAGATTAATACAATATTCTCTTTGCAATGATTCTACAAATCTTATTATGCCACACCGTGCTTTCAAAAGATAGAGTTGCAACAGCTGCTTTAAATGTGACCAACCACCTGTTTATATACCTGCAAGCTCTCTATCCAGGTTTTCGATGAAGCTCTGTAGGTCACTGGTATCCCCGAGCCTGGCTGTAAAGAGCCGAGAGAGAGAGAAAAGATGTCAGTGCACTGGAATGCTTCAGACTCTGTGGAACTGCAGCTAAGTGCGTGGCATTTCCTGTGGAAGGTTCCACGCCGAAAGAAATGCGAGCCTCTGGCTTTACCAAACTGGCTTTAACAAAATCTTTATTAAAAAGGATAATGAACCAAGGTTTGATTTTGACATTGGTGGGGACAGATTTTTTTTTTTTACCATTGTTGATTTTTTTTTAGCAAAGTATTTGCTTTGTACGTTCAGATTCATTTTCAAGATTCAAGTTTTCTTTGTTTTGTTTTGTTAAGTTTTAACTTTATTAAGTTAAAAGAGGTCAACATTATCATTCAGCTGAACTGTGCACATTAAACACATTTTGCCTTTGCTCAGATCCAGCAAATAAATGCACATCCTTGAATGAGCAGCAGTTCACAGCATATTTCATATCTTTTCAGGTAATGTAAACGGTATGACCAAATTTAGGCGCGGCCAAAACTGAAATTAAAATTAATCAGAGGTATAGAAATGTATCTTCATATTTACAAAACTAAATGTACTACATTTTACGCCTTCGTAGTAAACATAATAACATGATATTAAAATAATAATACAACTAAATTAGAAGTAGTAAGATGCGCAAATATAGATCTTCACCTTATGTCTGTTCTGGTTTACCCATTGATTTTATCATGCATCCTGTAGCCAAATAAGGAGCATCAAAGCAGTACAATCCACAAACAAAGACTACAATAAGATGAGTAGAGATAGCACACAGCATTTAGAGCCATGCATGAAGCAGGGAGGAAAAGCCATCAGCTTGTTTAGTAAATGTGATGACTATCTGTTATGTTCTGTTAATACCTTTTGGGGCTGTGGTTATGCTTGGGATGTTGAGCTCCTCTTGACTGGCATTCAAGCTGTTTACCAGCGAAGCCTCGCTGCCTGAGAAGATACATTAGGATTAATGCGTGCCTCTTACATGTGAACGCAAAAGAACTACAGGGTGGCCGAGGTGCACAAGGTACTGTCTATCACAAGAATATCTTTCCTATGATCAAAGGCTAACTAATACATTCATTGTTTCTCACAATCTATTTAAGGATCAAACCAAAGACAGATAGAGATCACATAAGTGAAGCCTTTGATAGCTTATTAAAAGACAAAGCTGTCCAAAGACGTGAGCTAAATAAATCAAAGGTCATAAATCTGACCTTTTTCTTTTACGGTTAAAGCGACACTATATTAATTATAGTTAGCTATTAAAGCTATTAAAGTCTATGGTTTGTCCTCATTTAGATAAGTAAACGTGGGTAAAGAAACAAATTGCATAGCAGTGATTTATAATTGGGAAATATGAGGAAATGATCTACTAAAGGACTCAGTCTCCCACATTTCTGTATACACATTATGCATTAAACTGATTAAAGGGATTGAATATATTGAGTATAATTCATAAATGTTTGGCATTCAGTGACAACTTTTGTAAGAGTTAGAGGTGTGTGGTAGTGTACTTACAGTAGTCTGAATCGTCTCCATCAGTCAGTGCTGTGTGTCTCTTCACGTCTCTCGGCACATGTTCAGAGGCCTGGGGTGTGCTCAGCTCCTTCACAACATCATTAAACTCCTGCAGCAAGTCTCCCAGCTCCAGATCCAGCTCTAAAACAAGTCACATCCTCTATTAGCATTACAAGCCCAATACTGGAATGCATTTTAAAACTATTAATAATGACTGATGTCAACATGGTGGCTGTAAATAAATAAAAGGTATAAACTTAATCTGCTCACCTTTTACAAAGAAAACACACATCTGAAATATGGAATGTTTATCAAAGGAAAGTGTACCTGAGCAGTTTGTTGCAGACATCCTGCTGTCGGTTCTCTGTGGATAGAGCTGTGAACTGATTCTCAAGTTAGTACGATGCGCTGCATTGACTCCACCCAGCGCATAATGCGCCGACCAATCAGAACACGGCTTTGGTCTCCGTGGTTACAGCAGAGCCTGAGGCAAAATTTCCCCTGACGCCTACACATGACGTCACGTGCGGAACTAGAGAAAGAAATGTTCCGACCACGTCGGTGTAAAGGCGCAGTTATGCACCTTCAGTCATTTCCTAAATGTAATGGCTCTTAAAATGCCAGTTACATGGTTTTTTCCTTTCCCCGTATTATTTGTTCGATTATAATTAACCGGTATAATATGTCTGTCATCTTTTATGACAGTGGCTGTAAAGTTACCATTTGAAGTTACCGCAATTAATGTAGTAACAACATGTATAATGTCAACACATAATAATAACACCTGAGACTGTGGTTGCCAACTTCAGAAAAGGAGAATAAGGGACAATCGTGGTTTTTCATAGAAAAATAAGGGACATAATAAGGGATACACACATAAGCCTATTTTATATATATGTATATATATATATATATACACACACACACACACACAGAATGATATTCAAGGTTAAGAATCCGCTGAAAGTTACTTAAATGTAAATACGACTTTCCTTATTGATCACGTCTTCCCTCAGGTAAAATGCACGCTCCCTGGAATGGTTATGTTCACAAATCAAACACTTGTCAAAAAAGAACAATTAATTCTCAATTTTTTGTAAGGGGTGTTGTCATTCTTGTACTATTCACTGCCCTTTTGTAAACTTGTAAATTGGACACATATGGCATAATAGTTTTTGCGAAAATTAACCATGGTTTTACCACAAATAAAACCAAAAGAAACATGGTTACTATAGTTAAACCATGGTAACCACAAATTATGGTTTTGCTATACTGACCATAGTTTAACCATGGTATTTGTAGTAAAACTGTGGTTATACAAATGGTACTCAATAAGCCAAAATACAAGGTTACTACACTTTTACTACAATAAAACCATGGTTACTTTTCGTAAGGGTTATTAATTCATTCAATATAACATGCCATAAAAAAATACATTTGACGCTAGGGTGTGGAGTTTTGTATTGCAGAAATATAATTCAATACAAAAAAAACAAATAATACAGAACATATGATAATAATAGAGTACTAAAGCAGTGGTTCCCAACCCTGGTCCTTGAGGCACCCCAACACTGCACATTTTGCATGTCTCCTTTCTCTGACACTCCAGTTTCAGGTCTTGGAGTCTCTACTAATGAGATGATGACCTGAATCAGGTGTGTTTGATTAAGGAGACATGCAAAACGTGCAGTGTTGGGGACCACTGTACTAAAGTATGTGGCTATCTATCTATGTAAGAGTCATTTTGATAAATGTGATGTAGTATCACTGGCGTCCTCGTGATGGCGACACTGAGACATGAGTCAAATGACAAGGTGACCATAACAGCTATAATAAATATAACTGCAGTTTGGTTTATAATCCTATAGTTCCAATTCATTGTGGTTCAGAAAAGCTATAACTGAACCCTAACAACTCCGAAGAAAAGCTGTAACTATATGCTATATAATCTCTCTTGTTATGATTTAGAGTGTGTATATTATTATAAAGCATTAGAGTGCTTAGAGTTGAAAGGGAAAAATACCTCACCACGACCCATCTATCATTATAATGCAATTACTCGGAAAAACATCCCGTCAGACCTGTATTTTCCCTTTTGAATATCGTGAGTTAGTCTCGAGCTGCTCACCTGTAACACAGGTAGGTGAGGTTTCTCGCGAGCGTTTCTCATGCTCGCAGAGCTCAACATGTTCTTGAAGAATGGACAGCTCCAAACCACCACATAATGAACTGGACTATACTACATGTGAGTGATGCATCCTACATTACTTAGTATTCGTATATTTTCAGAAAGAAAATTCTTCACTTTTCTTATTTTGACTTTGAACGCCAAGTCTGTCAGGCGTTACACGGAGTTAAAGTCCACATTAGTCAGTCTGCAGTATTAAGTGTGTGTATTATTCTGCGTATCAGGTGGTGTTTAACGTGTTTCAAACTTTTTTTTTCACTTTGTGGTTTCAAATAGGCAGACAAATTAGACTGGTGTATACAAATAAAGTCTAAAAGTTTAAAGGAAAAAAAGTCTAATACCCAAAAATTGTGCTGGCACTTTCTATGAATAGGGCATAAATTGGTGTCCGATTACTAATAATATTTTTACAGCAATAAAGGCATAAATCCTACGTTTTATTTTAGCTATGCTAGATGTAATGCATTTATGATGTATTTTCCAAGCATAACTATTCAACCCTGTAGTCAATAACAAAAATTATCTAATCATGAATTAATATATTTATCAATAACCACAATCATAGATTTGCTGCCAAACCTGTTAGCAAGTTCCTTTCTAAGCGTAAATCTGCTGCCCTGTTATACTGGTGCATTTCCATTTTGTTAGGACCTTTAACCTTGGAATTTATTAATGTTTAACAGATACAATATTAAGAAATCGTGCAATTTTATATGAAATATACATGCAAATAATATAAACATGGTTGCAAAATGACAAACCTTATATAAAATGAATGCAAAAGAAATATAATATATTTAAACTGTAGAAGAATATTATCTGATTTTAAGCACCTACTTTCACTGATGCATTGTTGGGAAATGCGAAACAAATATTTAACTTTTTTAAGCATTCAAGGCCAATTTATTCATGGAAAGTGCATTTGCAAGCTTAGTTGGGATTCTATGTTGTAATGTTAAATCTCTGGCTGCTGGAACATGTAAGTCAATAATACAGCCTGTAAAACAACATACTCAACAGAAAAAAAAGACTGACTTGGTGGTTAAGGATTACACACTTAACTCCTGAGTCAGTGAGTCAGAGGAGTGGTTAAACTTTCATATGGAAAGAAGGGTGTCACTTTCTTCCAAGCAGTAAGTCTCTTCTGTTGTTTTATAGTGGGTGCTTCTCTTGGCATCTGCTGGGAAAATCCATAGCCATGCACTGCGTTTCATCACCGTGGAGGAGCAAGAAGCAGGCATTAAGATCGGAAGTCTAAGCACGAACTACTCCGCTCCATACCGGCTCCTCAATGAAAGATACGTCAGGGTGGACGAGAGCACAGGGGATCTGTTTACTAAAGAGCGCATAGACAGAGAGACCTTGTGTCCATCACATCAGGATGGAGCCTGTACTTTTTCAAACACCGCAGTCGTGAGACCTAATTTTGAAATAGTGCCGATGATAATTGTTGTGGATGATATTAATGACAACGCTCCTATCTTTGAGAGGAATGAGATTCCTCTACACATACCTGAAGATGCATCAATAGGGACTGCTTTCCCACTGGATGACCAAGCCCAGGATAAGGATACGGGCGATAATGGCTTGATACGTTACCATTTAGAAGACTCTGATGGCTTTTTTGACATCAGACAAGACGGGCATGAACTTGAGCTGGTGGTACAAAGGGAACTGGACCGGGAAACTCAGGAAAACCACTTCTTGGTTCTTGTAGCAGTAGATGGAGGTTCAGTACCACTTAGTGCTACAGCTAATCTCAATGTAACTGTAACTGATGTTGATGACAATTGCCCAGAGTTTGATGCTGACAGTCCCATCACAGCCACTGTGCCAGCGTTAGGAGTCAAGGGCACTGCGGTGGCCCAGCTTAAAGCCACAGACGAAGACCTGGGCCAAAATGCCCAGATCACATTCTCCTTCAGCCGTCAGATCTCAGACAGGGCCACAGCGCTCTTTCACTTGGATGGACACACAGGCCTGATTAGCTTAGCTGTTGACGTGCTGGTTGACAGTCCTGAGGAGCACGCGTTGAAAGTCTTTGCGAATAGCCCACTTTGCCCCCCTGCGCAAACTCAGGTAACCGTACACATTCAGCCAGTGACGAGCCAAGAGCCGTCAATAAAGATCAGGTTTGTCGCCGAGCATAAAAACCAAGTGATCGTGTTACAAGAAAACGAGCCCCCCACCGTCTTAGCCCTCTTGGAGTTGGAAGACACCTCTACTGCCAAAGGTACTCTGTCCTTAGATAAAAACAGAATGCCGTTTTCTTTGAAGCCGCAAGCAAGCAGCTATTTGCTATCAACATCAAAACCCCTCGATTTTGAGATGTGCGGCGAGTATGATGTTACAGTGATTATTTCTGATCCTCATGGCACACGCCTACACAGAAGGGAAGTGATCAAAGTGCTGGTTGAAGATGTGAATGATAACGCCCCAAAGTTTGAACAAACACGCTATGAAAAGGACATCAAGGAGAACAACGAGCCTGGAGTGTTTCTGCTAAAAGTCCAGGCTAGCGACGCAGACAGCCAGCAGTTTGGCAAAGTAAGGTACAGGCTTACAAATGGAGGACCTTTCAGAATTGACGAAGAGACAGGTGTGATTTCAGCAGCAGAGTCTTTGGATAGAGAACAGCAGGAGAAATACGACCTGACTGTTCTGGCCCGGGATGGCGGCGAGCCGTCTCTGGAGGGCTTAGCTATTGTGTCCATAAACATACTGGATGTGAATGACAATCCACCGGTCTTTCCAACCCCACATTTCTATTTCTTTGTGATTGAGAGCATTCCACAACTTTCCCAAGTTGGGAAAGTCACAGTAAGCGACGCTGATGAAGGAGAGAACGGCCGGATAGCGGATGTGCATATTTTAAACGATGAAGTCCCTTTTGCCATAGACCTGGCGCAGGGGTCGCTCCGCAGTACTGGTGAAGTCGACCGTGAGAAGCAAGACCGCTATGAGCTTCTGGTTGTAGCTGTAGATGGCGGCAGTCCAGTCCTTTCCGCTACAGCAAGAATGACCATTTTTATTGAGGATGTCAATGATAATCAACCCCAGGTCCTTCTTCCTAGCAGCAACCTCTCCTGTCTGACCATATCCCCGGCTACTCGAGCAGGAAGCATGATAACAAAGATTTACGCCATAGATGAGGACTCAGGAATGAATTCGGACATCACTTACCAAATGATTGCATCCAAACCGGCTCTCCACAGCCCTTTCCAGATTGACCAGCACTCGGGAAACATCACCCTAGTCCAGCATCTACGCGGCGAGGACTACGGCATGCACCACCTCTTCATAGTCGTTCGCGACAGAGGAAAGCCAGACCCGCTGCAGACCACCGTGTGGGTCAACCTGCTGGTCAACGAGACTTTGGAAAAATGTCACGTGAAAGCCATTCCGGATTACTCACCACCACGACTGCCTCCTCCGATGCCTGTTCAAGACTGCAGATGTCAATCAAATGCCTGGCTTATTTTTTATTGTGGCCTGTGTCTGATGGTCATCTCAGTCTGTGTTCTCCTGGCGGCTGTAGTGGTGTTTATGAAGCGCAAAAACACAAAAAGGAAAGCAGAAAAAAGGAATGTATGGGAAACTGGAAATCTCTGTGAACTGAAACCTTTAAATTAAAGCCAAGGCTCTGCAGATATACCAGTAAAATGTGTATGTGTAAATATTACAACGTTTTTTGTTAACCTGCAAATAGTATTCTTTGGCCAGTACTTTTGGTTAGTATTATAATAGTAATATAATGTAATAGTATTAGTTTGGCCTAATGTGCAAGATACCTGCTTCCTTTTCCTAAGATTATGTGTTTTCATCTAAAATGAAATAAACTCTTAAGATTTTAAAGAATAATATTTAAAGAGATTAATGCAATGTATGTTTAATTCTCTGTCAGAAGTGAGGAGACATTCATTGAAATGGAAGGAAAATATTTATACAGGTGCAGACTTGCAGAAAGATAAATGCACTTGTTTGAGTTGTTCTCATGTTTTTCCTCTAGTGTGCTGTTGTGTTGGTTTTACAAGCTTTTATGGACTAGTCATGCTGTAGTCTGATGCACGCAGCCTACAATCAGTACCATCATCTAGATCAGGGGTAACCAACGTCAGTCCTGGAGAGCCACAGTTCTGCAGTTTTGCTCCAACCGTGATAAAAACACACCTAGCTTTCTAGTAACCCTTAAAAATTTATTTTTCTTGTTCAGGAGTATTTGATTGGGGTTGGAGCTGAAGCCTGCAGGACTGTGGCTCTCCAGGACCCCTAATCTAGATTAATCACGAAACAATGTAACAGTCTTTTTCTTATCAGAATAAGAAAATGCTAGTATATCTTCAAAAAAGAAAATGTCTTTTTACAAAGCAGTTGAAATAATGATGATGTTAATGTAACACATAACGTGGGATTATAAAGACGCATTACCATTGAGACACATCGAGATACTCTTGAAGGTTACCCTTACAAAAAAAATACTAATATAATCTCTACTCTAGTCTCTATAGAGTTCCACTCATTAGAAATCATAGTGTGGGGGGGTGATTGGCACCCAGATCGGACCAAAAGTCCACTTTATCATCAGCGATTTAAGGGGCAGGGGCTTAATTTAATATATTGATTGTTAATATATAAGGAACTATATTTTTTTTGCAAAGGGTATGACTTCCAAAGTATAAAACGGCTACATTTCCAATCAATCACTTTTTTCTTTTTCCTTTTTTTTCCTGTGAATATTATGTTTCACTAAAAAAATATGTTGACTTTAAGGTCAAATAAACTCTAATGCCTTTTTTTGTAACTAATGGTTAAGTACAATCAAGGAATGGTTTCCATGGTGACTAAGGGTGTATAGAGTTTAAAAACTTTTTGATAGCTTGTGCTGTGAGATCCAGAGACCAGTGCTAAAAATCAGACAGATGGGAGACATCACACGTCTCATACCACCAAGTTTCCTGTCATCCAATAGTCTCTTTCTCACCACATTCAGGGAGTTCAGAGACTCATTGAAGTTGTGCACAAGGAATGTGGAAACTTTAAATGATTATCTGATGAATTCAGGTGATCTGGACAAGAATGTGGATGAAAGAAAACTCCACTTCAGTGCCTGTGCTGGCCCACCGTACCGATTTCAGCTGAGGAGGACCCCCTCTGCCCTGTTTGTATGCTCTGGCACCGACACAACCATCACAAGAAGCTGTTTTCTTGTAGCAGACATGATAGGGGTTTTGTAAATGACACAAAAGATAAAGCATGTTTAGGCAGGTCTGCTGAGCGCAGGTGGAATGGGAATGCACTTCCTGAATAGCAAACAAAAAAGATATTAATCTTGTGAGAAAACACTGTCATGAAGTTGACTGGCATATGTTTCCACATCCAGGTTACAAAGATGCTTCACAGATGGTTCTCAAAAGGCATCGATATTCATTCCTGCTCATCTACCTGAAATGCTTCTGTTTTTGATCCTTTTACTACGGTGGCCGAGAAGTGCTTGGAATAAAAAATACGGGGTGTCTATTTACATTTAGTTAAAAGTGGCTGTAAATCATCAGCTCCAGTGGCGCAGATGGATAAGCAGATGGATACCCGATACTTTATTTTCAACTTTTTGATTATTTCCTTAATTTTTATTGAAAATAAATGCCTTTACGATGTGATACGAGATTTGAAAAGGGAGGGAAAAAAGTTCGGCAAAAGACGTGCTCGAACCCGGGTCGATCGCGTCAAAAAGCCAATGACTAGCGCTTATCCATCTGCACCACTGGAGCTAATGATTTACAGCCACTTTTAACTAAATGTAAATATACACTCCGTATTTTTTATTCCATAGTAAGGGCAATTCATACAATACATTTAAACTGAGCTACTTTAATACCATCTCCGAACTTTCTACCACGACTCTGCTGTTCTTCGGCTGGTTCTTCCTGTATATGTTGATTGACAGATGTCTCGTCCAGTCAGCGGTGAGTAATCCCAAACCAATGGCACTGTCTCAAACTATACCTACCTCTTCCGGTTTGTCTGATTTGTCGTTGTGTTTTCTGGCTTTTTATAATGTTTTCTGAATTGTTGTTGTGTTTTCTGAATTGTTATTTTGTTTTTTATACTTGCATTTGCGTTTGTAATTTGTTATTTTGTTTTCAGAATTGTGATTTGTTTTGCACTTCTCGGCCACTGTATTTTACAGCCTTTTATGAAAGATAAACACTGAATAGTGCGTTAAATCATTTGTATTGTTTGTACATTTTTGATCTGTCCAGTAATTAGTAAAAGTTCAAATAAGTCCCAAGACTTTATTTTCCAAAATCATAAAGAGTTACACATACTTAAACAGTTAATAAAAACAGAGTCATCACTTATTTTATGTTATAAATCTGAGTAAATACAAAGATTTTATTGTGTATTCTACATGAAGTATTGCGGTGGAACCAGTGCATGGTATCAGATGATAATACCATGTATGATACTGTACTGAATGAATACCGTTTAGCCTACTATGAATATTGTATATTTTAAGTATTTACTTGGTACTGAAAGATACTTACAAAATACTTTGGTCCAAAAAAAAGGTGTGTGTGTGTGTGTATATATATATATATATATATATATATATATATATAT